TTCGAACCCAGGCTGAGGTAATATTTTTCGCGATAAATTTTCTCTACCATTAAAGATGCCCAGGTATGGTCAAGAAAGCACGCACTGACGTTGATAAATCGAAAATGTTTAATTACCCGCAGGAAAGTTTCGTCTGGCAAAGTTGAGCGGAGAATTATTTTTCGCTTCAATGGAATTTAGTTGAAATTTGTGTAAAATTAAATTTAGGTAGGCGCGCGCGCGCGCGCGATCGTCAAGTAATTGCTGTATGTTTTATGCACGTGCACGATGTAACAGTCGCCACATCAGCACTGTCCAGTGCTGTGCGAGCATATTACTTTGCTAGAACGGGTTCTTTGCAACTTTCCAGATACGTAATGTTACAAACTCGGCTGTTAGTTTTGAGATAAGGTTTTGAATATGCAGTAAATTTGTTAAGTGCGTTGAAAGTGAATTCGCACATACGAAATAAAGGCTACTCGAGTGATATCGCGGAATTTTATTAAAGCTACGAGAGAAAAAGAAAGGGACAAGACGTTAGGCAGAGTGTTATGGCGTTATTTCATTGGCTTGCGAAATGAGGAGTGGATTATTCGTCCGTTCTTCGTTAAAGTTAACCGTTTCTACATGCAAATTTCTTCAAACCTCAGAAATTTGATAGACTGGCACGTTATGTGCGTCTATTCTTGTGTATATGCGATGTATGATTTTCATACGAACAGGCAGGATTATCACGAGACTCTTTGACATGCAGCTGTTATACGAAGCCCGAGGTAACAAAGGCGGGCGTGTTCTTGCGCTCAAGTTTGAACGAGAATTCGCGTAATTGCGCGACAGTCGGAATGGGAAACTCATCCCCGTGCAATTATGTCCCTGCCTCGGTATAAAACTGTATTTTCGTACGTAATTACAAACGCGACTTCGCTCAGGCATACGGATTTTCCTCAGTGCACACCGCTGCATAATCTTGACAAACGAATGGGGTCCAATCTTGCAATGTGATTTAATGCTTAATACGAGCAATTTATTTCCCGCAAATGTATTGACATAAGGAAACGCCTCGCAGTTTAAAGACTTTGCTATTGAGCGAAGCGAAACGTTTCCTATCTTCTATCACATAACAGTGGGATATTCATTTTGCCACAACGCAAGTTATCCCATAATTAGCTCGTAAATATTATTCAATGGAGTATCGATACACGCTAATACGTTAGTAACTTTATGTGCCATTACAGAGCTACCCGTCGTACAAGCGCATATATGTTTGAATATTGACAGACACATTCTCTACCCGTACAGCACAGAGAGCTTTCAGAGATATTTAAGAAAGATTTTATCCGAAAATTGAAATATCTCATAAAGATTGCAAAATGTTTCTGCAACAGCTCTGAGACAGGCTCTGGAATAGCAAAAGGTCCGTTACTCTTGCATTCGAAACCTTTCTGAAAATGTACTGAAAGATTACCGAAACATGTCTAAAGCCTTTCTCCAATATGCCAGAAATATTGCCGAAGAGTTATTGAAATAATTTTGAAATCTTTGTAGAATATCGTAGAAATGTTGCAAGACATTGCAATAAATTAGGAATACTTTAGACACTTACACATTTATTATACTAATACAACATTACATAATTATATTATAGTTATTCTTCAAAAACACTTGACATTTCTTTGTAACAATAAAAATAAAATAAAAATACAAATATTGGCACAAGCCGAATGGTGCCATATGTGCAGCCTTCGAAATCAGATTCTTTAGGGTTAGACAAGTGCGTTTTTACGAAAGAAAAACGGCAATTTTATTGGTTACACGTTTTCCGGAGCGATATCTCAGACTCAGATTTCTAGCATCGTGGACACAATTAAGGCTTTAGGGTCGATTTTTCTAATCTTTTGCTAAACTAATAGATAAATCATATAATTATTTTTGTTTTTTCTTCAAATTGCACACAACAGGTTAGAAAAATTAGTTCTTAGACATCGACATGTTTTAGGGATAAATTAGTTGAAAATTTTCAAATTTATTGCATGAGAAAGGTTTCGGAAATGGCTCGACTGAAAGGTTCAATAGAATATTTTATGTGAAACAATTCAGTGATGACTCAACTGAAAGATTGGAAAAATTATTTTCACGCGGAAGGTTTCAGAAACATTTCTGTTACAACATTTCATATAACACATTGCAGAATTCTCTCAGAATAGTTACACACGGAATACGAAAGGTTGAAATAATTTTGAAACCCTCCTGGAAGCTTTCTGCAACAATCGGTGCTGTATGGGTAGTTTCATGCTCTCCATATATGGAGAGAGTTTATGAAAAGCGATGAAAGACTGTGATCTGACGGATATGACAAAAGAAACTCGTATTTAGATTGCATATCCTGATTTGCAATAGTATCATGTCCCCTTTCATTGGAATCTTTGTCCAATTTAACTCTCTATGACTTTCCAATATAAAATATCCGATTCTGAAGATTCACTAGTTCTATTGCTACGTTCCATACAAGATATCGATGATATATGCGGCAAGAGTAACAGTGAGTGATGTTGGTATGTCCATACGAGAAGAGAAAGAAAAATAATAAAAGAATGCGGAATCGCGGAAATTCCACATGTTTCGATCGCGTGGATATGCCGCAAATTACTGTTGCCGATCGTAGTGCAAAGTGAATCCTCTCTACAAAATTTTGGAATATTTACACGGCTTGACACATTTACTTTAGAGTAATTTGTCTTATTCGAGATTAAACCAGAAGCACTCACCGCAAAGGATTAAACGGGGGAAAAAGGAAACCGAATGTCGCACAATGTGTATAATAGTTTCGAGATACAACATTTCTTCAACTGTAATAACAACTGTGTACATTTCCCGATATTTTTCATCTCGAGCCTCGAGCTTATTGTCAACTATCGCGGAAGTATCGTTGAAACGGTTAAAGATCCATACCTTGAGCGTGTCCTTTTCTTCCATCGGTATACTGATGCCTCCGCCGGGATCAGCCTCTGACGTGCTGACGTCACTAGCAAAGTCGCATGTGACAATCGGTATCTGGACCGGCTGATTCTCGATCGTGGCAACGTTTTCCATGACCGATCCCGGACACTTCTTAGTGTCAGTCGCCGGTGTGCTCTGAGTGAAGCTGGTCTGCCTGATGTCAGGCGATTCCGGCGGCACCGCACGTGGACGGGGCTGTTTCCGTATGCCGCGACGCGCGCGAGCCTTGGCAGCAAAGTATATACGTATGTACACGAAGACCATGATGCAGGATGGGATGTAAAAGCTGCCCAGAGCAGAGTAAAGGACATACCCGATGTCCTCCGACAACTGAAGCAGAAAAAGGTGGTTGCTTGCTCTTACATTTTTTTCTAGAAACTTGATATTAATTTTTCTAACGATATGTAGTCTTTCAAAAACGACCCACACTGGCCAGTGTTTTTATTTAAAAGACAAACGACGTTTCGATCTTATTTATTCTTATTTATCTCTATTCACTCTCGACATTTATTAATTCGTAACAACGTAAAGTGTAACGACTCTCTCGCTCGTACACAGCTTATTAACATGATATTGGCCAAGCGAACGATATGAGATGAATAACAATTGTGTGAAAAGGTATAGATTTGCAATTTACTTTCGCTATAATTATTTGCGCGATATATTTTTTAAAGAAATATTTAGTGTCAAGTTATGCAGATCACTTGAAAAGGGTCCAAATTCGGGACCGAGACGCCGTTTGTTTTTTAAATAAAAATACTGGCCAGTGCAGATCGTTTTTGAAAAACTACATATCATTGGTACTGGCGATATTAAATCTCTTATTTGTGAGTTAATTTCCTAACTTTTTCTAATCGGGAAAGTGTCTTTCAAACGCACGTAAAGACAAATGTAGTTGCCGTAGCTAAAGGCTGCTTGTGGCAACTAAATTTCACCTTTAAAATATGAACAGCTAATATTTAGTCGTGATAGCTAAATATTTTGCTGCCGTGCCTATTGTATTAGATACGACAGCAAACCGTGTGCTGTGGTTTAGATAGCTGTGGCAGCGAAATAATTCAAGCAAACCATGATTAGCTATGGCAAAATTTTTCTTCTCAGTGTGTAGCGCCTCTTAATACATACAATAGGGCGCGTTTGTTGGTGAAAGGAAGCGCGTTTCATTAGTTCCATGGC